GGTTCGGCGACGCAACCACAAACGGCCTGCCGTGACCAAAACGAAGAAGACAGCGCGGCTTGAAGAGAAGCTAGATGGATTGATATCACTTATTAAAACCGGTGCATCGGGTACTTCAGCCGTCGCATCTCCCCAGCCCTCAGCCTCTATGGGCGCCTCTCCACCTGATAACAGTATTCAGGCAGAACTTAATGCTGATTCCCATCATCAATCTAATAAAGACTCATCTTCCACTGACCCAAATGACCATATTCACAATATAATGAGCCAGACTACAGATTCTGATTATACGGCTTCATATGAACCCTCCTTAGCTGAGGCGGAAGAATATCTTTCGAATTTCAAGACCTACAAGTTAAAATATTTTCCATTCGTTTACATTCCATCTACTACCACTGCCCATCAGCTCCGGCAGGAGAAGCCGTTCTTATGGCTTTGCATAATGGCAACGGGTTCTAAGTCGACGTTACAGCAACAGATTTTAGGTGGGAAAATACGCCAAACCGTAGCACAAGAGATGATAATCCGATCTGTAAAGAGCATCGACCTTCTGCTGGGGCTCCTAGCGTTCATTGGCTGGTATAGTGTTCCCTCGCTAGCTAGGATCGAAATGTTGCGTACTAATACTTCCTAGGGCCACGTACCAAGTCCAGCGCGAGCCTTTTCTCTCACTATTTACTCAACTTGCGGTGTCCTTAGTGTTTGACTTAGGACTCACTAAACCGGTTCTTAAAGATCCCGAGTTGACGCTGTGTTGGAATAGGAAGCATTCAAGACCTGCTATACCACGGACAATGGAGGAACGGCGAGCTGTGCTTAGCTGCTTTCTAATTACGTCAATGTATACACACCATTTGATATGTGTTCGGATCATAAACTCACCATTCGCAGAATATCTTCCTTCCTGCAGAAAATCGACGCGCTGCGCTGGACACCGCACATGGATGACTGCCTCCAAATACTAAGCGACGAGAACGAATGTTCGAATGATGAGGTACTTGTAAAGCAAGTACAGCTGCAGTTGATCATCGAGAAAACGAACCAGCAGGCCTTGTATGATGGAGCGAGAGAGCCCACTTATACATATCTTGAAGGCTTATATTCACAATTGCAAGACATTAAAGAAAGCGTCCTATGCAAGCCCCAGAGGAACGGTAGGTTGCCATACAAACCGGTCTAGACTCTATTGCTCACATTATTGTAGAGGTGCTACTTTTACATTTATACAGCGCGGAGTTAGAGACTACACTTTCGCCATTTCTTCACGGCAAGCCGTTAACGTCTCAACGAGAAACTGTCAATGCGAGCCTCACATCGATAAAATCCTGGTTTGATGTCTTCTTCACACTAACACCGGATACCTATATTGGGTTCCCGTCTTCAATACTTTCGCAACTGCTGCGCTGCCTAGTCACACTCTACCGACTTAGGATTATGAGTGACCCAGCGCGTGTCGGAGATGGTGCTGGGGTGATGGACCCCCTTCTCATCTTAGATCGCGTCGTTAGCAATATGGAGCAGGTAGAAGTTCTTGGTGGTCTAGATAACGGGGGCGTTCAGGAAAGAGACATATTCTTTCGAGCCGCACAGATGTTTCGGGCTTTACGACCGGGTTGGGAAGCAGAATTACGATCAAAGGAACTTGCGCTCTCTAATATCACTATACCGCAGAATTTTGATGATATCCCTCTGCAAGACTTCCTTGGAATGGACTTCTTGGACATTGACTGGATTACAGATTTGTATATTCCCCCGAACTAGCCACTGCTTAATATATTAAGGACTGAGAGATGGACACCATTGGTACATCGACGATCACAGATTATTGGCTACTACCTACACCTTCCACTGTACAGCAGAAAGGGAGCGCATTGGCTTTCATTATATTGCATAGGATGGATGTAGGATGGCGTGTACTAGAAACCGGAGTCTTGTCCCCTGACTCGCAATCGCGAATTACGAATCTCGGGGTAACTTTTGCAATAGTGCTGTATAAGCGGGACGATTAAAAAGCCCGCCTACGCTAGAAGAAGATGTATCTAATGAAGATCCGGTTACGCGAGAGATATCCTCGCTTAGTTACTTTAAAATGATCTGGGCGTGGAGTGTAGAAGTAATTGAGATTGATGCAGCAAAGCAAATCATTGGTGCGTCGGATTTCGATTTTCGGATTTGAATGCTGAACCCGCGAAATCCGAGGAGCCCCCTTATGCCCTGTTGTCAGTCTCGACCATTACGTTCCGCAATGGACTTCTTCGCTGTTATAAAAACCTTTTGAACGGGTCTAATTAAGTCTGTTCGCAAGAGACAGCTCCTTGTATTGCGATTCTTCGCTTATCACTTAATGCTCCCTGGCAAAATGGCGTCGGCATCATCTTCATCATCCACTAGGCGGCAATCTTTAGAACAAGGCGAACGCGAGAACATGTCTCCCCCATCTGAGAAAGGTCTTGACACAGGAACTAATGAACCCACTGGACCAGCCGCTAACCACGAGGAACAATGGTTAACTGGCTTCAAGCTTTTCAGCGTCACGGCCGCCATCACCCTCGTCTGTCTTCTCATCATGCTTGATACGTCTATAGTAGCTACGGTAGGTACTACTCGGCGTCTGTAGAATACTTTGAAGCTAAGGCATCGTAGGCCATTCCCCGGATCACGAGTGAATTCCACTCCCTTGCTGATATCGGTTGGTATGGAGGAGCATATCAGCTTGGAAGGTATGATCTCTTGTTCTTTTAACGAACAGCCAGCTGACATAGATCTAGTGCGGCCCTCCAACTATTAACTGGCAAGATATACATGAATTTTAGCTCCAAGGTCAGTAACTACAGATCCCCTATATCCTTTTCGATCGCGTTATTTATCGTTTGTATGCAGTGGACGTTTGTGATTTTTTTCGGCATTTTCGAACTAGGATCCTTGCTCTGCGGCGTGGCAAACTCTTCGAAAATGCTTATTGTTGGACGGGCAGTCGCCGGAGCGGGATCCTCGGGAATTATGAATGGGGCTTTCACTATTCTCGCTGGAGGTGTCCCTATGGCGAAGAGGCCAAGTAAGTGCCCTTGAAGCACTTGGGGGTGCATGATGAACTAACGGATGGAACAGCTTTAATGGGATTTGTTTATGGTGGTAGGTTCAAGCCAAAGGTTCCCCTTCTCGAAATGGCATACTCATAATTATTCTAATTAGTATCAAATCTTGGTCTGGTAATGGGACCCTTGGTCGGAGGAGCACTTACACAATACACAACGTGGAGATGGTGTAGGTCGCAATATTTCTATACTTTTATTCATTAAATACCTGACTAAACTCTAATACCAGGCTTTTACATCAACCTCCCCGTTGGCGGTCTCGTCGCTATCATGTTAGTCTTCGTCGACATACCCGAACAAATGCCCAAGCCGAAAGCCTTGACGGTTGTCCGCACACTCCATTCGAAACTCGACCTCATAGGGTTTGCTCTCTTTGCGCCCGCAGCGATCGAACTACTACTTGCTTTACAATACGGAGGATTTCAGTTCGCATGGAATAGTTCTCAAATCATTGGGCTCTTCTGCGGTGCCGGTGTCACTTTTATTGGATTTCTAGCCTGGGAATATTATAAAGGAGACGAAGCAATGATTCCATTTTCAATGATCAGGAAGCAGACTGTATGGACAAGCAGCTTGTCGTATGGACTTCTAATGTCCCAGCTTTTCTGCTTATCCTATTACTTGCCTGTGTATTTCCAGGGTGTCAAGGGAGCGACCCCGCTGTTAAGTGGTGTATATCTCCTCCCAAGCATCCTGGGTCAGCTCTTCACATCTGTTCTATCTGGTTGGCTAGGTAAGTAGAATGACCACCAGAACGCTTTTGTGACTAACGGATATAACAGTTGGGAGGGTCGGTTACTATCTCCCATTTTCTCTTATTGCGGCAGTTATGGTGACAATTGCCAACGGAATCTTATCTACTCTATCCCCTACGACATCTATAGGGGAGTGGGTAGGCTATCAAGTCATTCACGGAGTCGGTCGTGGCCTGGGGATGCAAATGGTAAGGCTCATCTCTCCTATCCTGTAAACACGCATCTTTAATAGTTCGCTAACTCTTAATTACCTAAATCTTTGTAGCCGATTCTCGCTGTCCAGAATACACTCCCCCCCGCTCAAATTTCCGTCGCTATGGCGCTTCTCATGTTCTCCCAGAATTTTGGCGGAGCTCTATTTCTTAGTTTTGCTGAGACCATATTTTCCAACAGCCTGAAGACGCTCATACCCGAATATGCGCCTTCCGTCAACCCCGAGACCATTATTAATGCCGGCGCTACTGGTTTCCGGAGGACTATTAGCCCGGCAGAAATAACCCATGTGTTAGTGGCATATTCAAAGAGCATTGACCGTGTCTTTTACATGACCGCTGGAATGGGTGTGCTCTGTTTCGTCTTCTCGTGGGGAACCGGCTGGAAGGACATCAGGAAGAAGAATGAAGTCTCAAAAGCGTAGATTTATGGATATGGTTAGGGCTCTATCGAGATGAATCTGTATAACCCATACCATATTAGGGATCTACAGCTCTTATAAGGTTAAGAGGGGCTGCTATAGCCGAATGAAGTGCGATGAAGGAAGAATGTTTGATAAAACGACACCCAAAGTGCGTACAGACTGGTCGATTCTGATAGATAGGTTAGGCGGCAGAGACTTTTGTATTATTTCTTTACAACTGTTATAATACACTTAGACTTGGAATATAATTACCTTAGGGACTTAAGTGACACAAGAAGCAAAATATTCTCGGTTAGCTTATAAAGTAGTTACTAGAATCTTAAATAGCGGATAGTTGGAGTATTGATATCTCTACCTACCCAGGTAAGGTACCTAGGTTAGGTAAGTATGAATGATTGCGTGGAGATGATATACAGCTGATGTCAGGGTATTATGGGTCAGGGGTAGCTACAGGGGTCTATCGACTATATAAGAGGCGCGAAGCGCCCTCGTAAGAGGATAGAAGGCCAGGCGTTACAAGATCAATACTATTATTACTTGGTCTACCTATCCTAGACACTCACTCCGTGTATGACATCAATCAACGGGTATAAATCCTGACAGCTGAACTATCAACAGCCAGGTAAGTGGATATGAGATGGTCCGTATTTACATAAATGGACAAGGGGGTTTAGTGTACCTAGTTTCTCCTTCAAGCCCCTCTGGGGCTATTCTATCTAAAAATGATTTTGCTAGATTGCATTATCGGCTGAGAAGAGGCTCTTTCCGTCTGTTCCCATTCGATCAACTCTTGGTTATATGATAACTCTCGTGATCGAGATGTTAGCAAGCCAAGCCGACCCAAAGCCCACGACATAGCGTCGGCCCATTCTATGGCCAAAGCAGGGTGCTCGGTCCGTAGGAAATCTGCAATCTCTTGGCCAAGTGGCGCTGCTACTGACTTCACCCACCAGAACCTGCTGTTGATTTCATTTAATAATATAGTCCAATGCAGGACAATGAGCAATGAGAACGGATCGCGTCTGCCGACGAGCGATGCGAATTTCTTCCCCGCATATCCTGGAAATCCAGAACCGAATCCCTCCAAAAGTCCTCTTGCTTCCTCAGCGTAAGCCATCTCTAGACCACGGATTACTAATTGGTATAGTTCGTAGTCGTGTACTACGGTGATAGTTCCCGTCTCTTCAATGCTTTCTATCGGTTTGGGTGTACCTGCGTGTTGCTTCTTGTTGAGTTCGAGCAACCTATCTAAGGCTGCTCTAATATCTGGATCTATTAAATCTTTTGATGCGCCCAAGCGGGTTAGCATGGTGCGTAGCGGGAAGGGGCTGTCAAGAAGCCATGGCATCCCTAGCATCCCAATACTGGTGCTACCATTGACTAGGTCGAAAGCCACTGATGCCAGATCGAGTATATTGGTAGAACGTTGTGGTGTCGAAAGATGGACGGCAACGGCTATGGCGGAGAACATGTATAAGACGTGACAGTTCTCGGCGTTCATACTCCCTAGGTGGGCTCGAAATGAGGTGCTGCCCCGATTGTAGTATTCAAGTGCCGCGTTGACGTATTTACTGGAATTGGCTTCTCCGACAGTCCTCGCTATTTCCAAAGATGATATAGCAAATATGCAGTTCAACATGAAGTCGTGGCTGAGGGCTGAGCGTGGTAAGATCGATTGCAAGTATTCCACATCTTCCTGCATACCACAGAATGATTTGTATGTATGCGTTGACCACTGATTCATTAATTCAAGCTCTAGGAGTCTAGTAGGCCCCCCGTATGCCGCACATAATGCCCCCAAGTCACCTCGTGGTCGTTCAACAGAAGTGGGATATCTTGCTACGGTCCCGTATTTGGGACGCATAGATAGAGAGCTTCCATCATTGAAAGCTTCAGTTTTAGATCGACTGTAGACACAAGTGGCCTTTCGAAGTATGCAGTTATTGCAAGGCGGACCTTGCTCGTCACACTTTGTATGCCATTTTTTGCAGTTCTGGCAGCCGTTGCGGGATTTCTTGTGAGATCTTCGCTTCTGCATGACCATCGGTTTTCGATTTTTTTTTTTTTTTTTTTTTAGATAGCTGGTTGCTATCATGCGATGAGCATGGGTTCTTCTAATGTTCACGTCACTAGCTGCGTTACCCGTTCGCGCAAGCGCTTACGGGGGAAAGGGAGGGCAAAACTCACGCCACAAATAGATCTGGCCTCTGATTGGCTAGCCACACACCAGCGCACGTCCGATGAATCTTTTGTAGAATCAATTGAATTGCTTCACCTTTGGATAAAAGTTTTAATAATTAGTATCGTTGGATAGAGCGCGTTTTGCATGACATTTCTATACCATTTGCACCTTTTACAGACCTTGTGCGATAGAATGGCAAAGGAAAAAGTCGCAAACTGCGGGGCGATTCTAAGTATCTGATTGGTCGAAAAAATTGTGGCAGTACTAATAAAATATATAAGAGTTGATCAGGTTCATTGGGGTTCTTTATGGGGTCTTTATGTATAATTGACGGGACGGAATGAATTCCCCTGATTGCGGCTGTGCTTTTGTGTTACCGACGAAGTTTAGAAGACTCTAAGGCGCTGTCATATGTGGGGTACCCACATGTATATAAAGCTAGATCCTCCCTCCTGTAACTTAGCCATTACAACATCAACATCAAATACATACAATATTGTGATAATTGGTAGCACCTCAAGCAATACGATCAGAGGCTATTCTTGGAAACCATACAAGAATTGTTTTTCGGAAACCATACGAAAAATCACCTCCAGGCTATTCTTGGAAACCATACAAGAATAGTTCTTCGGACCCATACGAAGAATCACCACCAGGCATCGTTCTCGAAAAAAGAGAATCACCACCAGGCCATTATGGCCACCATTGGCTTTGTCCCTTATAAGGCATTGTTCTCGAAAAAAGAGAATCACCACCAGGCCATCATGGCCACCATTGGCTTTGTTCCTTATAGGGCATTGTTCTCGAAAAACGAGAATCACCACCAGGCCAACATGGCCACCATTTCTTCGATTGAACCCTAATCTTCCATCGACCTCTTTTCCGTGTCGGACCAAATGCCACACCACACGTTCCAACACTTACGATCAGGACCATCCATGTCCAACAATTCTACGTACTCATTCCGCCCGTCTACTATAACCCCCATCTGCCCTGGGAAGAAAACCCTATTCCCCAGACCAGCAGTCTACCTTATGAATTTGGAGGAGAACAGGACATATTTTAGAGTTTTGCAGAAGTAAGCTGTTACGATGAGGGCATCGTTATTTCTTTTTAGTGGTGGCATTGTCATATGTGGGGTACCCACATGTATATAAAGCTAGATCCTCCCTCCTGTAACTTAGCCATTACAACATCAACATCAAATACATACAATATTGTGATAGGCGCAATGCGCTGCGCCACTAGACCAATCCCATGCGAGCTGAAAAGAAGTGTGGCTTGGTTACTAGGAATTGTCAAAATCTATTGGCTCTAAAGGTCCGTGATGGGGTCAAGATGCCAAGAAATAACCACAAAGAGGAAGTCCTGCAGATCCTTTGAGAGATCCTAAAAGTAAAGCCTAAGATGAAGCAAAGAAACTTGCATCAACAGCTTATCTGCCTATGACGGAACGTGAGATTCTATTTGACTGACTACTGCCCTACGATCTCAACTTAATAGGGCTCGCCAGTCATTGATTGCTGCTGGGCTGAGAATATGTAAGTGTGTACCTCTTAAGGTAGTTTATTCGACGTGAGTACCTAAGAGACGCCAAGAAAAATTAAAATATTCAGGGATGTTCGACGCGATGATAACAATGCTGCTAACCCCCTATGCTTTTACTAATTGGTCCTCGTCTACGTGATATGCGCTGATATGCCCAAGAAGTCATTAATGCCACCGCCGTGCTGATGTGGGCTTTGCTCCTACGTCACAATTCATGTAACTTGTCATAAGCAGAACCCCAAGCAATCTAAGCACTATTCGATATAGATCTATTCCTCAAAAGGGGGGCCCTTAGCGCTAGTTACACTGTTCCCTAACAGCTTCTCTTCTCAATGATCATAATCCAAAAGACCTTGGATAAATGACGGCGGCACGCGTACAACATTTCTCGTCCCTTGTTATTATTCAAAATACCTTAATATTATCAAAATGGAAGGCTGAATTGTTAAAGTTCTCAAGACGACCCTTTTCGGAGAGCATTAAGTAATTTTAACTTGTTTATGGTAAGGATATGGTGGCAGTGTCGATTAAGGAGATGGGTCTTTGAGCTTTTGGGCCACATCACTGGTTTAAATAGCACTATTACAACGAGAGGTTTTTCATTTCTTTTCTCCCTTTTAGAAATTAAAATTAATTGAACTCAGTTGCTATAAAACTTGCAATGTAACAATGGCGATGGGATTGAGCTCCGAAGACCCATTTTCTTACATGGCTTCGACCGAACGACTTTGGGAAGACGTCTTAAAACCGACAACGCTGGTGCTTAAGAATCAATACATTGCACCTGAGACTGAACCTACAAATTGGCTTTATCAGATAGGCCGGGATGTGACCGCCATCCCACAGAAGGCCACATCAATGACCTTCGAGAAGATAGAAAACACCGAATCGTTGGAAGTTGACTCATCAACTTCTATTAAGAGTCATAATAGACACATATTTTACCTTGCGCATCCATTAGGTGCGCAGTACCGGGCCGATATCCCTCCCTATTACCTCACATCCGTGTCGGGCGATACGCTGGGTAACATCAGTTTGGAGACGTCTAAGTCGCGGCTCGGGAAGATTATATTCAAGGTCCTAGTGAGCTCAGGAAGAAGCTGGACAGACCATCCATTATTCCACCAGAATGCCGAACTTCTATTTAGTGTTAAGCAGAAATGGGCAAATGGTCATTACATATGGACCAACTCCAACAATAAGCAGGTGGCGTACGAGGATAACAAATATGATCAACATAGACTTGTCATCACAGCATCAATGAAAACAGATATCAGAGACGCTCTGGTCGCTACATGGTGTTAGAAGCTATGGCATGATACATCTGAAAGCAGCCAGGCTAAGAGAGAATGTGAGTGCACACCATCCCATATTATATGAACCAGTTAATAAATTAATAATATATTTTAGATATGGAAAGTATCACGCCGCCTGAGGAAATGCTGTCAAATAGGGGTATGCGATCGATGAATAGTATTGGGGCACTTGGTAGTCTCGCTGGATTAGGATAGAGTATTCGGGGCATTACCTTCAGATATAGGAAGTCTAGAATTAGCCTTGGAGCATGAATGACTACGATTTAGTGGCGAAGCCTTATTCTTATAATTCCAGGTGCATATTAGACTTTTCCTGTGATAGGATTGTTCTTACGCGTCATCGATTGAGGAGTGAGCAAAGAACGAACTCCCAAGGTTACTATCACTAGGCCCAGTTCTTATTCGGAGTATACTCATCAGGTTGTTATTCAGGCTAGAGCCCACTGCGTTACTCAGAGTAAACTTACTGGAATATTTCCTTGTCTTAACTATGACGTATGATTTCCATGTGGTGGTTATTTGCTCGACTTTTCTACGAAAGTCCTAATCCGGTGGCTTCCGGAGCGTTATGGAGAATCGTGGGGAAACTTTCCTAAATAGGATGATAGTCAATCGGAACTGCTGATACCCCTGCTATTTTTCAGGAATGTTACTACATATGGCATATTTTAAATCGGATCCCGAGAGCCTCTCGATATCTTGACTCCTTAGCAAGGGGTTTACCCAATTTTCTGGGAGAGCTATAACAGCGGTATGGGAATTCAGCGCTCGCTATTCCGAGCTTAGATAGTACATAGTCGAACCTGCCTTGTACAGCTTTTGATATAGGCAATAATTATAGCCAGTGGACATCTCGTCAGTTTAACAATTCAAGTTGACCTCTTATATAATCCAACCTTATAATGCGATCGCAGATACATCTCGCTTATAAAGTGCGCGCTACCTGTGACAGCTGCTATAGGGCCAAGATAAAGTGTTCAAGAGGAAATCCTTGTGTAGCTTGCACAAGGTCGGGGGATCAATGTCATTATAGTATCTCAAACCGACTTGGTCGCCCTCCAAAGGGTGCAGCTAGGAGCAAAACAGTCAATTCGACCATGAAGACGAAAAGATTATCCAATCATAGTCGCCCTCCTAAGGCGATAACCCAACAGTCTCCGGACAGTGGCCAATCACACCAAGATGACTCGATGGGCCTTGAAGATGTACTCATAAATGCATTTTCTGATTCGTCATATGCGTTGTCGAGCCCAGAGACAGTTCCTAACCAAGACTCTGCTAGCCTTGGGGAAAGTGAAATAGCAACTAGTCTCTCTTTCACAAAAGTAAGTCGCCCTTTTCGAGCTTATCGGTTATTTATGTAAGTCTGACTTCAATTTATTACGTGTAGGATGACCAAGAGTCATGGATAGCTCTAGACCAATTACAACGGTCTCCTGTAATAAGGGCACAGCAGCTTAATGCTGCTCAAAATGACCCTCAAATCATGTACAATGACGACGTCCTATTACCTAACTTCCAGAAATTTGGACATCGAAGTGAGCTTACTCGGTGCAGCTGCCTCCAGCAACATACCCGGTTCTTATGTCATGTAAAGGAACTAGACCGAACTCACGACCCTCATTTTATCGTCATTACGCTGGATGTTGCTAACCGATGCCTGCGTCTGTGGGAATCCCATATGAGTTGTCAGTTATGCTGGGAGGATGAAGACCACAGCGCACTGCAATTGTTGCTTATTAGTATCGGCACAGTGGTAAAACGTGTGTGGAAATTCCTCACATATCAGAAACAGGATAATGAATCTATCGAAAGCTTGCCGAATAACGGTGAGCTGGCATTTTCAGAAGTGGGAGTCCCTAAGATGGCATCGGCCGGTACTGAGAAGGCGTCCTCCGAAGAGCCTAGTGGAGTGAACCGCAGCGCGCAGCTGCGACATGATTCGAAGGGCCCCCTAATAACAGCCCCTCCAATGAAGATTACAGTAGACGAGTTTGAAGTCCCTGAAGAAGAACAGATGTTCATTATAGGAATGCTGATTATCCGGATGCTAACGAGGATCAAAGAGGGGCTGGGGGACATTCGCGATAGAATCAAGGTGGAGGAGAGATCGGACGAAAAGGGTGGTAATAGGAATAGCTGGTATCCTCTACATAGACTGGTACCTTTGATATTGGATAACTTGGATGAATCGGTGATGGAACTTGAACAGTCATTACGGAATTTTATCATGCCATAGGCAATCTTTGGTTTAAATATGATCAAATTTGAATGAGACGTTAAAAGTCACAGACATGGTTATTGTTGCCATTTAATATAGGTATACACTAATACTGATGTATATAGGGGGTATTACCTGGAAAACGGTTTATTCTATCAAAGATAAACGGACTGTGTCTGTCAGGGTATAAGTGGAACCAGTACCTATGAATTAGGTATAGATACCTACCTCCTTACATAGGATAGATATATACCTAAGGGGCGTAAGAGGATTAAAGGTTAAGCGTTAATAGATTCATACTACTACACGGCTACTATACAGTAGCTTCGCTACTGTTCCTAACATTCACTCTACGTATGACATACATCAAGGGTTCCTTCTGACAGTATCTATAGCGCTAACTTTAAATAGATCTGCATCATACCTCTTATACTGTAAATTGTTAATGTATTAACATGGCTGCCTCGGTGTGAAAAGCTTTTTATACCGCCCAGGATGTTTTCCTTATTCATCCTTAGATCCGGAGCTTAATGAAGCGTAAAAACTGTAATCATAGGTGTTTCCTAGCACCGTTGAAACTGGGAAATTGCCTATGGAAACGATACGTCTCAATTCTAAATGTTGGGTAGACGATCAACAGACGGAAACCGGGGAGATTTCCTATGCGTAACCTAAATAGGGGGTATCCTGTCCACACAGCCGAAAAGTCTACACTTATGATAGTTGAATTCTGTATGTACCTAGGTATATATATCATCCGAAATCTAATATTTCAGCTATAGTTCGGGCACATGAACTGTAACAAAGTAAGCCTAACAGGTACCTAAGGTACCTAATACTATCAAGTATTAAGTGGCAAAGAGGACCGGGTTTTGTGAGGTTACTTAAGCTTTAGTTCAATTATCGATATATGATGCCTGTAAAAGGAGAAGTAGGATGGACATTCTGAGTCTTAAAACAAATAATATGATACATCTATCTCCAAGGGCAAGCCTATATGTATAGCCCAAAGTCCTACTTGAAAATGGACGGTATATGTGCCGTGGTAGATCTTGTGCAGGGTAAATGACAAAACTATCTACAAATAACCTTACTGTGGAAAATCAGAATGGGTCCGTCTCATAAGCCTTATCAGCTTCTGCTACAGCATCATAGCTATATAGCCACGGCTGCACTGTGGGGCAGGTCCTAAGTGTGAGTGGCCCGTTAGTTTTATAAAATTTATCACGCAACTGAAGTCATGTTTCAATCTTACCAGCGGCTGGGGAAATGTGGTGGCGGTTCCTTGTCCAAATTTGCGAGGAAGATAGCGTCTCGTTGCTCCTGGGAGGGCCCATCAGGTAAATGGAATGAATCCCTCTTTAGTCACATACAAGTTAGCATATCGTGTATAAATATTCCCGTTTCCTAGTATCTCCTAACTAACCTGACCTAATGCTTCCTTTGCTATTGCCTCACCCCGGGTCTTTCGTAGCTGTTGATATAACTCAAGCGCAGGGGCTAGCTTATCGCGATTAGTTACGTATTTAAGGAGACGACCGAGGACAGCGCCGTCTTCTAGGGAGGAATTGGCTCCCTGCGCAAGATACGGGAGCATTGGATGACATGCATCACCCCTAAGTTCAGTTAAATTACTTGTGTCTGATAAGGAGTCATGAGGGAAAAAATGTCATAACTTACGCTAGTAGGAAAGATGCCTCATTATTTACCCAGGTATCCAAGGGGGAGACTAAGTGATACCATTCATGTTAGACTTATGTCTCATAGGTATACGTATATCAAGGGCATGTAATTACTATGCATCAGTCGCCATTTATCCACCTTGTTCACACATGCTAGCAACTTGTTCAAGCTGTTATAGGCCTTAGCGAGTAAAAGAGATACCAAATCTAAAGTTCAAGGGTAACTCACATCGGATCCCACGGCTCGAATAGCTTCCGCATCTCATCCACATCAGCAGCAGAGCGGCTCACGTGTTCTGGAAGGTCATCAGGCCGGAGTAAAACAAGGTTATACATGCGACCCTGTCGGAGTGAATAGCCTACGACGTGAGACTCCGGACCAATCCAGAAATTGACGGATGGGTTGGAAACTAAGTCCCGTAATTCCGGATCTTCTATATCCTCTAAATTTAATATAATTCGATATGCAAGATCCCCAGTTGGCGTCGGTGTTAGCTGTTGTTGTAACAAGAAACTTGTCGTGCGCGACCATAAGCCATCTGCACCAAGGACCAGATCGCCTTGTACCTTCTGGCCATCTTGTGCAACTACCGCGGCGCGTTGAAAGTCAACATGTTGAACATCAAACCCCAGCCGAATATCGACGCCGAGTGAGCGAGCGCGACGCACTAACGTTTCCTGCAAGTCTGCACGGTGGAGATCCCAAAATGGAGCTCCGTATCGTTCGAGTATCTTCTCTTGATAGCAGTCTTCATGAGCTAAGATACGTGTACCATCATATCGTCGAACTGCTAGATAGGACGGAACGGCGGCCTTGGAGCTTAGCTCATCGAAAACTCCCCAATGATGGAATAAACGGCTTGCATTAGGGGTAACCTGTAGCCCAGCACCAACTTCTTCTAACCTGGTAGTTTTCTCCAGTACTGTAACTCGGTGACCTTCAAGGCGTGTGCTGATGGCAGCGGCAAGGCCAGCTAGTCCTGCTCCAACGACAACTAGATGGAGTTGGAAGCTGGCGGGCTTGTTACTCTGAGTTCCGCTGCCGGACATTGTGAGAGAGATTATGAAATACCAACTAGATAAATATACTAGCTCCTCATAGTCAGTTCATATACTCTAAAATCAGCTTGCTCAAAGCATGTTTCGGAGATATCTAAGTATTATCCCTCATATGTGAGGGGTCCGGGAATGCCGCATTGACGAGGACATATCTTCCCTTGCGGTTAACATCTCGGTAAGCTCTGTTACTTAGGGAAACATTGCAAGTGGGTGGGAATCCTACTAGGGTATAAGTACCTAGGTATCTGCTTAGTCCGGTAGAAGTTTCTATTTAGGCGGTATCGTATGAACAATAAAAGCTTCTAAGTCTCGCTATACCTGAATATTTTCCAAGGCCGTGAATGTTATAAGTACCTAAAGTTAAAAGGGATATTGCACAGGTACCTGTTATTATACAATATTTCAGGTCTGTTTCCCTTAACGAAGGTATTGTAAACCTCTTACAGCCATAAATGTGCCTTAAGTGATAAAGTGTATAACTACCTACGTATCTACCGAGTAAATAGTCTTACGCCCACCGGACATAGGCGACTTCATCACTATCATCATCAAATTTGGGTACCTAAGGTGAGAATTGGGGTAACCCGATATACCGATATACGCATATCACCTAACCATTCATGTAGCCGATATATTACCTGCCTCATAAACAACGCAGAATCATATTCACACGCTAAAGGGACGACTTGAAATTAACCTCTTATTCTAAGTCCATGATTACTGCGTTAGTGTAAATTCCATGATGGTGAAGTTATTACGATTCATGATTAGAAAATCAATAAGAAAATATTCAATTAATATCAAGTACTAAACCCCCCTTATCTTGTAGTCCAATAGTAAAAAGGAATTTAATTAGAAATTTCCAAATGAGCTTGAGAAGAGGTAATTGAAGTAGATGTATTTTAATAAGCGAGAACCTTAGAATAAATTATATGAATACTTGGGTAAATAGGTACCAATGATGTTACCCTCAAAGTGCCCAACGTCAGGGGTCAAGGGATTGGGTGAGCCAGGTGACATGAGAAGCTCTAGCTGCGCATGTAAAGGGACTGAAGCCCACGTGGCGAATGAAGAGACATCCAATTACCTACTACCTTTGCTAAAAAGTTTCCGATGAGCTACTTCTTACCGGGTTCCAATCGGTATCTCAATGAAAATCAGGGCCCAAATTGTCAGACGCCGAAAAGGTTACATGCCAATCTGTTGGTATTAAAAAATCCGATTGGTTTAGTCCTGCTTATAGTTACACTCACTGAGTCAACATTCAGCCTCAATCCAGGTAGTAGTTTATGAGATTCAAGAGATAACAGCTGGGTATCAACATATTTGTATGGCAGGCTTATTTGAGACTTTAAGTTTGTATACGGAGTAAACTTTTTAGATAAGCCTTGCGAGCACAAAGGTACCACATTAGATTAGGAAGATTCATTGCAGTAGAAATTCTTTCCATTGCAGACTCCAAAGATAATACCTCGGAAGTTCGATGATTCAATATGGCATTCACATACTAGCGTAAAAGGGGGTAAAAAGTTCTGTTAGGTAAAATGTGGAGCTATATCCCCTCGGAAGAGGATAGAAAGGCAGATGTTAATAGTTTCATTCTATCTAGGTAGTTATCTTGACATTCACTTTATGTATGACGTTCATTAAGGGTTATCTCTGACAGTGCTCACGAGAAACCTAGATTTGGCAGGGCGTTGCGCGCCTCTTCGATACCAATCCTAGTAGATCTACCCCTGAATCTACCCTAACCCACTTATACCCTAACAAGTGCAAATAAACCTACGTATTGCCATAATTTTAATTCTCAAATTTTGCCCTTATTGATAGATAGGTAGGTGCGTAAACACTCAGTTTAATTCATTAATAATTAGGTCACGGTAACGTTTTAGTGGAAATACGCACTGAAATAACATTCGGTAAAACGACACTATATTGGATATCAATTTATTAGAGATTATCGAGCTTCTTTAGCCTGGAAGATATCGAGAACCAAAATAACCATTTCCCCATCTTTTCTCTTGCATAACAGTTAAAAAACTACCTCTTAAGGAACTACAAGACTGTCTGGACCTAATATATTAAGATAGCGTGAAAAACTATAACATCAAGAGTTAGAAGACGGTATCGATTAGTTGTATCTATTCAGATTCGCGAATGGGAGTGGAAGGGATGTATTGTGGTTTCTGGGGCTCGATCACCTATTGGATAGCGACGAGTAGCCTATCTAGTATGCAAATTGGGCTTAGTAGATGATTCATAAAATATCTGTCGGCGAGCAAATGTAAACAAACAGCTAAAAATTAAATCTTAATTTCATCTTATATATACTCATATTTAGACTTTACATTGGTGGTAATGTGAGCTATTATGCCTTAATAGTATGAAAATAACCACATATCTAGGATATCTTAAATAAATGATAATAAAACATATCGGCGAAAGACTAGTAATGAAAATGACCGTCATAAGGATGACCATTGGTTATAGAGTCTATATATATATGAGACGGCAGGAATAACTTTTAATAAGGGAGGGTTTATGCGGTGGTAGGAGTAAGACTTAAACGAGACTACTAATATATTTAGAATCTCTATTCATATTATGTCAGTGATCCTAGGGTGAGCTTCTGAGCATCATGGAGATGGAACAGAAGAAAGGGAGAGAATGCCATAAAGTTAGGCGGATATGTTGGTCGAGCCACGACGGCATAAACCGATAATACGCCTGTCTCATGACATTTACAGATTATGGGACGATGGAAGATGGAGTGCCGGATTCCAAACTATGATAGCATCATGACCTGGTCTGCTCACAACATTCCGTCCTTCTAACCTGGTTGGAAGCAATTACGCTCACCGTTCTCGCTATAGGATGAGCTAAGGTATTCGTCAGAAAGAAAAAGGCCAACTCGAAGCAGCAGTTTCTTACACAATTCGTTCCTCTCGACCCTAGTACATAGGAAGGTCATTCCCTACTCTGACACGACAGGGAGCCTCGCCGTTGACGACGAAACATGGTAGGCAAGGCATTATGAGCGAGGCCGGAATCAAGTCCGCTTGAGCGTCCAAGGACAGTCGTCGCCGCTTTAAGCAAAGAAGTACTAGATTCAGATTAACCTGGAAATGAGATATTCGGAAAGCCGAGGATGATTTCCGAACAATATTCGTACCGCCCTATCGTCAAAGAACGTGTCAATACAGGCCATTCCTAGACGCCTGCTTATTCGTTACGATGTATTGTCTGTCACAGGATTGGGCTAAAACCCATGTTGTATTCCATTGGTCCATCGAGATCATGGTATTCCATATAGGGCATGCACCCCACGTATACCTCGTAAGGTGAATATTTAGTTGGTTTGTCGTTTATGCTGTTGGTCATACTTGTATCCTGCAGTTTCGTAGGAATGCATGAGATATTTACACCCCTCCCCCTCAACCCATACCCCCTAGTCCTGCAACCTGGTTTCGCTCATGCATGCACATGCATGTACCTGGACATGCAGGCGAGCTGAGCTACGATGTATACTGACCCACTGGCTAGGGTCCCTGGCTGAATCCAAGAGATTCGACATGCTGGTGTAACATGTCGTATTTACTAAAGTACTTTTTTGCCATATTAAATATTACTTTATAAAAAATGATACAAATTTATACGCTAAATACTTAATTATATGATTAAAAACTAAATAAATAAATAATATAATATTAACGTTGGAATAAAATAAAATAATAATTTTATAATATCTTGTTATAAAGCTTTTACATCGTAATCATCTATGCAAATGGCAATACCCCGTCCGGCCGGACACGAACGAAGGTCGTATGACACAGCAACAAGGTGAACTCATGGATTAACAGCACTGAAGAGTTGGTAGAATGGCTAACTGCGGTAGGAGTCGGCTAAAGCAACAGTACCTATGGTTTGCCAGTTGTCGACGGCGCAGGTTTGGCGCTAGTTTACTGGGTCTCATCTATCGTAGGGTAAGTGTTAGAGAGCTGCCTCTTGATGCAGGTCAGCATATCGGCGGTGAGGCAGAAGTTTCCCTCTTCCAATTCCTTGTTCCTCAGTAGTCTTTGACTAAGACCACAGGGATTATGCTCCTTTACAGCTTGAAGCCGATAGGAGGCCGACTTCTATACAACTACAACGAGAACTTGGACAATTCTTAGACTTAGTGGTGTATATAAAGGCATCAATCAACCATATTAAGGCACTTCTACCGTGCTATCCAACAAGGGACACCTGTCTAGTTGTATCCATCATAACCATTCCTCTTTTATCCTCTTCAAACTTCATCAATTCATCATGGGTTCGCTAGGGAAGAGTGAGACTCAATATCCGAAGCCACTGAAGCCTTCGGGAGTCCTTGAGAAATTCTCATATGATGATAGCACGCCAGCTATCGGTCGAGAATTCAACAATGTGAACATTGTGGATGATATCATCAACGCCCAGAATGCTGATGAGTTGATCCGCGACCTGGGAATTACTAGTAAGTTGACCATAAATGGAGCTATAAAAATTGGCACCGGGCTAACTTAGCGCTTCCTCAGTTGCTCAACGCGGTGTTGTCTTCTTCCGCGCACAAAACAACTTAACAGATGACCAGCAGAAGTTTTTGATCCAGAGACTAGGCGAGCTTACTGGCAAGCCTGCTGAGTCGAGCCTGCATGTCCACCCTATTCTGAACGAAACATCCGAGTTCGGTGTAGGAGACAGGCACATTAGCACAATCAACTCAGTCCACCGCAAGCAGGTATACAGCGGAGACAAGGATGCCAATAAGCACAGCCAGCAATGGCACTCGGATATCCAATTCGAGAATGTGCCTCCAGACTTCTCATCCCTACGACTGACGCTACTGCCTAAGAATGGTGGTGACACCCTTTGGGTCAGCGGCTACCACATTTACGACCGCCTATCGGCTCCGTACCAGAAGTTTCTTGAAGGCCTGACGGCGACCTACATCGCCAATGGTCTGTTATTCCACAATGACAGAATCTTCGAGGGACCGCGTGGTAACCCGAAGAACGTCGGAAAGACCTTCACAGCCGTCCACCCCGTCGTACGCACCAACCCAGTCACGGGGTGGAAGAGCATCTACGCGGCGGCAGCGTTCCCCAAGTACATCAACGAGCTGAATGAGAATGAGTCGCAGGCGACTATCAAGCTGTTGACCCAGACGCTCGTAGAAAACCATGACTTCCAGGTGCGCTTTAAGTGGAAGAACGAGAACGACTTTGGTAAGTTCCCATTAACGTTGCGACTTGAATGAAGCCAGCTAACCGCCATAGCTATCTGGGACAACCGTAGCACGTTCCACACCGCGACCCATGACTACGATAGGCTAGGCGAACGGGACGGTCACCGCGCCGTGGGTATTGCGGAGGTAC